GGGCGCGCGCCGCGACGCCGCCACGCGAGCACCTCAGCCGGCAGCCGGGGAGGTGGGACTCTTCCCTTTTCAAGATGGCGCCCAATGCCCGTGGCCCTGCTCGATGACGTCATCCTGCCCCGCCTCCTCGCGGCGGCTGTTATAGGAGGGCTTGAGGGGCCCCGCCCCCTACCGGCACTAGGCCCTCCCCAGCAAGAGCCTCAGCCAATAGAAGTGCGGTCCTTTGGTGGAGCAGCCAATGGAGAGCGTGCTGGGAGGGGATGGGCGGTGCTCCAGCCATGCCACTTGGAGCGTGATAACTGGAGTCCAGGACTATGCCTAGCTTAGTAAGAAACTGCAAAACTGCCTTCCAGAGCGGCTGTCTCATTTTGCATTCTCATCAGCAGTGAGTGACAGTTCCTGTGGCTCCACATCCTAGTTGGCATTTGATGTCGTCAGTGTTGGATTTTAGCCATTCTAGTAGGCGTGCCCTGGTCTCTCATCGTTGTTTTAATTTGTATCTCCCCGATGACACATGATGTGGAGCATCTTTTCATTTGCTTATTTGCCACCTTCATGGGTGAGGTTCTGATCTTTGGTCCATTTTGTAATTAGATTGTTTTCTTACTGTTGAGTTTCAAGATTTCTTTGTATATTTCAGATACAAGTCTTTAACATATATGTATTTTTGCAGGTGTTTTCTCCCAGTATGTGACTTGTCTTTTCATTCTCTTTACAGTGTCTTTCACAGGGCAGAAGTGTTTGATTTTAACGAAGTCCAGCTTATCAATGTTTTCTTTTATGGATTATGCTTTTGGTGCTGTATCCAAAAATTCATCTCTAAACCCAAGGTCACCTAGATATTCTGTTATACAGTGAGAGTTTACAGTTTCATATTTCACAGATAAGTCTATGATCATTGAGTTTTGTGAAAGGCCAGTGTCTAGATTTTTTTCCCCTGCACATGAATGTTCAGTTGCTTCAGTAACAGTTGTTGAAAAAGTTGTCCTTTTCCCATTGAATTGCCTTTGCTCCGTTGTCAAAGATCAGGTGAATATATTTGTGTAGGTCCATTTCTGGGCTCTTTATTCTGTTCCATTGATCTATCTATGTACTTTACACCAGTACCACCCAGCTTTATAGAAAGTCTTGAAGTCAGGTAGTGTCAGCCTCCCGACTTAGTTCTTCCCCTTCAATATTTTGTTGGCTATTCTGGGTCTTTTGCTTCTCCATATAAACTTCAGTATCCATTTGTTGATATCCACAAGTTTGCTGGGATTTTGATGGGCTTGTGTTGGGAAGAACTGACATCTCGGCAATATTGAGTCTTCCAACCACAAACATAGAATAGCTCCGCATTTATTCAGATCTTTGATTTCATTCATCAGAATTTTTTGTCACCTGTTTCAGGTTCTCTATATAGACAATCATGATCACATGTGAACAAAGACAGTTGCGTTTCTTCCTTCTCAATATGTACACCTTTCTCGTCTTATTGCATTAGCTAGGACTTCTGGTATGATGTAGAAGATAAACTGTGAGGGGTCGTCCTTGCCTTGTTCCTGACCTTACGGGGAGGCATGTATTCTCACGTTAAGTGCGATGTCAGCTGTAGTTTGTGTAGATGTTCTTTACCAGATTGAGGAAGTTCAATTACTTGTTTGCTGAGAGCTTGTATCTTGAATGGGAGTTGGATTTTTTTAAATGCGTTTTCTGCATCTATCAGTATGATCATGTGATTCTTCTTTAGCCTGTTTTGATGGATTGCATTGATTAATTTTCAGCTGTTGAACCAGACTTGTATATCTGGAATAAATCCCACTCAGTTGTGATGTATAATTCTTTTTATATGTTGTTGGATTCTGTTTGTTAATATTTTGTTAATGATTTTTGCATCTATATTCATGAGAGAGATTTATTGGCCTATAGTTTCCCTTTCTTATAATGCCTTTATCTGGTTTTGGCATTTGGGTAATGCTGGCTTTATTGGATGAATTAGAAAGTGTTCACTGTGCTTTTGTTTTCTGGAACAGATTGTACTGGTATCATTTCTTCCTTCAATGTTTGGTAGAATTCACAAGCGAAACCATCCGACCTTAGTTTTTGTTTTGTTTTAGGCGAAACCATCCGACCTTAGTTTTTGTTTTGTTTTGTTTTGGAAGACTGTTAATTATTGATTCAATTTCTTTAAAAGATACAGGGCTTTACTGATTTTCTATTTTTTCTTTTGTGAGTTTTGGTAGATTGTGCCTTTTAAGGATTTGGTCCATTTTATTTCAGTTATCAAATTTGTGAGCATAGAGTTGTTCAAATATATTTTTTTATCGTTTTAATGTCTATATAATAAGTGTTAGCATCCCCCCTCATTTCTGATTTTAGTAATTTTTATCTTCTCACTTGTTTTCTTGGTTAGTGTGGCTAGAAGTTTATCCATTTTATTGATATTTTTAAAAACGAAAACAAAACAAAACCCAGCCTTTGGTTTCATTGATTTTTTTCCTATTTTCTCATTTTCAATTTCATGATTTCTGCTCTGATTTTTATTATTTTTTCTTCTGCTTATTTTAGGTTTATATTGTTCTTTCTCTAGTTTACTGAGGTAGAAGCTTAGATTATTGATTTTATATCTTTTTTCTAACATATACATTCAATGCTATAAATTTTCCTCTAAACACTGCTTTTACAGTATTCCACAAATTTCGATAAGGCGTATTTTCATTTTAATTTGGTTAAGTATATTTAAAAATTCACGTCGAGACTTCTTTGACTCATGCATTATTTATGGGTGTGTCCTTTAACATCCGAGTGTTTTGGGGTGTCCCCTTTATCTTTCTATCGTTGATTTCCAGCCTGCTCCCACCGCGTCTGAGAGCATCCTTAGCGTGCAGCTTTCGACGCACTGAGACGTGTTTCATGGCCCAGAATGCGGTCTTGGCGCGTGCTCCGTGTGAGCTCGAGAAGCGAAATAGTCTGTGTCACCTAGATCCGGGGGACTGTGGTGCCGTTGAGCGCAGCCGCATCCTCACCCTGGATCTGTCCACTCCTGCCGGGGTGCTGAAATCGCCGCCGGCTGTGGTGCACTCGCCCGTCTCCCTTGCCAGTCTCGGTTTTCGCCTCGTGCGTTTTGACGCTCTGTTGTTAGGTGCACACACATCAAGGACTGTTACGTCTTCCTAGAGAACTGAGCGCTTGTCGCCAGGCAACGCCCTTTTCCTTCCGTAACTACCCGGGGTCTGAACTCTGCTCGGTCTGAAGTAAACACGGCCGCGCCTGCTCCCTGCGGGTTGGAGTCGAGGTCCGTCTTCCTCCGCCCCTCTCCTTTTAATGTCTTCGTCCCTAAGGTGAGTTTCTTGTAGACAACATCCAGTTAGGTCTTGTTTCATTACTCACTCTCTCAGTCTGTCTTTTAATTGGTGTATTCGCACTATTGATGTTCAAAGCCGTTATTGATACAGTTGGAACGGCCGCGCCTGCTCCCTGCTGGTTGGAGTCGAGGTCCGTCTTCCTCCGCCCCTCTCCTTTTAATGTCTTCGTCCCTAAAGTGAGTTTCTTGTAGACAACATCCAGTTAGGCCTTGTTTCATTACTCACTCTGTCAGTCTGTCTTTTAATTGGTGTATTCACACTATTGATGTTCAAAGCCGTTATTGATACAGTTGGATTCATACCTGCTGCATTTGTGACTGTTTTCTATTTGTTGGCCTTGTTCTTTTTTTTTTTTTTTTTGTCTGCCACTCTTTTTCTGGCTTTCTTGGTTTTAACTGGACATTTTACATCGCTTCATTCTTTTCTCCTCTCTTAGCAGATCAACTCTTTTTCACTTTTCCGCTTGTCGCCCTAGAATGCCAATGCGCTTTGACGACCAATCCAAGTGTCCTTTCACATGACGCCGCAGCACGCCCCGCGCGATGCGGGGCCTCTGTCACAGAGCGACCCCTGCCACAGTGTCCCTCG